AGCTCAACTAAGAGCAAATACTACAGTGAGTCTTCTATTAGCTACTCTATGCAGGTGGGGGATTGAGATGGATCTCAGATACATATACATACCTAGTTGCCTATAAATATGTTACCTACAATGTTTTTGTTTCATTAAATCAAATGGAGAAATGAAATGACAAGACACTTTAAAATATTTATCTCCAAGCTCTTGAACCAAAATTTTGCACCCATTTAGATAGGAGACAGTATGGTCACCTATTGTTCTGTTAATGCCTGAGGCCACCAAAATAATGAGTGCGCTGAGTCAGTAGTAAAAATCACCTGACCTTTATGTCAAGGTTTATGATCTGCGCTAGTCCGATAAAGGAATGGCGTCTATAATCGCGGGAAAAAAACATCTGAACCTGTTCTGGCCTCTTCTCTTCGATCATTCCGTGTTTTCCACTTCCGCGCATCTTATCGCATTTAATCAGGTAGAATGCCTCTGCCGATTCGATCCTCGATATGTTTTCTATGTCAAACTAAGGCGACTCTGATCGCCCCATCGATTCTTCCGACCTCATGGCAGACCATGCGAGGCATGGCCACCGTTCGATTGCGCCGCAAGGCTGCTCGGATGGCTCTGTCGCCTACCGTTGACAAACCGTCTCTACCATCTCCTAACAAGCCACGACGGGAACGGGCCGGACCATTTGCCTCGATGAACCAGACTCAGGCACGGATTCGAGACACACCACGCACACGATCACAGGCGGCACTCAAGCGTTCAGGGGAGGAAGGCAAGACGGAGAAGAAGGAAAGCCCATTGTACAGAGCGTTGAAGATGCAGACAACATTGACACCTGTGCCTTACGGTCGACGTTCCGCTATCAAAGCCCGACTTGCCGACATCACCAGCTTCGACCACTTCCCTCTCCTCCCCGCAGTTCGACAGTCAGTCTTCGCTCAGGCTCTGGCTGGTCTCACTGATGTTAGCCCCACGCCCATTCAAAGGCTCGCGATTCCCGAACTGTTGCTGGATGAATCCAAGAAGAAGAAGAAAGTTAAGAAGGCGAACGAGGACGAAGAAGAGTATAATTTCGACCAGTACCTCCTAGCAGCAGAGACCGGCTCGGGAAAGACCCTCGCATACTTGCTTCCAATTGTTGATGCTGTCAAGCGTGCTGAAGCTATCGACATTGAGGAAGAGAAAGCCCTGGAGGAACGAAAGGCACGGGAGCGGGAAGAGAGAATGAAGAATAAGGCGTTCGATCTGGAGCCCGAGGAGCCACCAATGACAAACGCCTGTCGTCCTCGGGCCATTATTCTCGTTCCTACTTCTGAATTGGTATCCCAGGTTGGATCCCAGCTCAAGGAGTTGGCCCACACCGTCAAGTACCGCTCGGGCGAAATCTCATCGACCTTCACTCCTCGCCGGATCAAGAACACCCTCTTCCACCCGGCCGGTATCGATATTCTGGTTTCAACTCCTCACCTTTTGGGCTCTGTTGCGAGGTCGAACCCCAACATTCTCAGCCGAGTCACTCACCTTGTCCTTGACGAAGCCGATTCCCTAATGGACCGATCGTTCATCCCAACAACGACTGAAATCATTGCCAAGGTCGCCCCGTCACTCAAAAAATTGGTTCTCTGCTCAGCCACCATCCCCCGCAGTCTCGACAATCAGCTGCGCAAGCGCTTCCCTGATCTGCAGCGCCTGACGACTCCAAACCTACACGCCATTCCCCGTCGTGTGCAACTAGGTGTCGTGGACATTGAGAAGGAGCCATACCGCGGAAACCGAAACCTCGCCTGTGCTGATGTCATCTGGTCAATCGGCAAGGCAGGAGATAGACACGAGCACACCGAGACATGGGGCCCCCTCAACGCATACATGGAGCCAAAGGTTAAGAAGATCATTGTGTTCGTCAACGAACGCGAGGAAGCCGAGGAGGTCGCCAAATTCTTGCAATCTAAGGGTATCGATGCTGTCTCGCTATCTCGTGACACCGATTCCCGGAAGCAGCAAGAGACCCTCTCGGAGTTCACAGAGGTTAAGCTCCCACCGACTGCGGAGGAGATCATGATTAATAAGAAGAAGAACCGCGCCGCTGGCAGCATTCCCTTCGAGCTCCCTGACCGTCAAGAGCCCATTCGCCGTCTTCCCGACACAAAGGTTCTTGTCACTACCGATATCGCCTCCCGTGGTATTGATACCCTGGCAGTGAAGACAGTGGTTCTCTACCACGTGCCGCACACAACCATTGACTTCATCCACCGTCTGGGCCGTCTCGGTCGTATGGGTAAGCGTGGTCGTGGTGTTGTTCTGGTGGGCAAGAAGGACCGCAAGGACGTCGTCCGTGAGGTTCGCGAGGGCATGTTCCGTGGCCAGGCTCTGATCTAGATCCAGATCCAGATCCACGCGTGCGTGCATTTATCACACTGTATAAATCTTGTAACATACATGGCGTTGATTTGAGGTTTTGATTTTTTTTTTGGGAACTGGAAAACGACTATACCCATTGTCGCTGCGATAGTCATTAGATCTTTTGGAAGTATGTACGATATGCAATCATATATAACGAAGTTAATTCTCCTCTTGTATAACAATGTCTGAGTCCAATTGTATTGAACCAACTGTAAATTACTGTTTTCATTCAACCTGTCACACGGGTATTTCCCTCCCCAGTCCTCGCCAGAAGTCACACCTCTTCTTCAACTGGACCAGCTTCACATTCTCAAGCCCATCGCCCACAACGACGAATTCCTGACCCGTATGTAGTTCCGGCACACCTGGCTGCGAAGCATTAGTCACTTTGTGTGAATTTGGGTCTCCCGTCTGGAAGAAACTCGCGAAAGCTCCCGCGTAGCCTTCATAAACGACAGGGTTAGTCTCTTGAACAGCATTGATTCTATTCCACTAATATCATTCAAGTTAGCTCATGCCATCAAAACCAGGAGATTATCCAGGTAAAAAAGAAAATAGCAATGAAAAGGGAAGAACAAACATAAATAGTGTCACTCCCATGCGTGGCCGGAGAAATCGTATACTCCCCAAGATACCCTTTCTCCGTCGCAGCTGACGCAATCCAATAAGCCGGACAAGCAAGCACAACATCCCGATAAATCAAACCAGCCCGAATATAAGAAGTATCGTAACTATCGATCGTTTCCGTGCTCCCCTCAGCGGGATAATAAAGAGATTCCACCTCACCAATCTGCTTGGTCGACAACCCAGGCACAAAACCCGAAAGCCACTGTTGGAAGCTCGCAACTGATGAATTAAATCCGTTTACCAAAACCGTGCTGTCCAGCCCCGACGGAATGAAATTCTGGCCTTCGTGGGTGTTGTACATTCCCCAGACAAACTCTGTGTTCAGGGAGCCCCTGTTCACAGTTTCTGTGAGTGTCTCAACTAGGAAGGTATCGTCTATCACAGGCGCCCAGGTGTAAGAGCTCGTTGTCCAAGTATTGCTTGCTCCAATTATCAGGCTTGCGTCACGGATCTTCTGGACATCCACGGATTTGAGACAGGCGAGTGTCTTATCAGCATGATTGTAGCTGGCACAGCCTGTTAGGTTGGCCAGCTGGGTGTAGATTGCTTCTGCTTGGGGTGCGTTGTATTTATACGTCTTGGGCCAGAACGGCGAGCTGGCAAGGGCTTTGGAGAATAGTTTCGGTTGGCCATGGCGGCCGTTTGCGAGGACTTGTGCGACTACTGAGCCGGCACCGGCTGATTGGCCCCATATCGTCACGTTGTGAGGGTTGCCGCCAAAATGATGGATGTGGTTCTGGACCCATTTCAAGACATATTGCTGGTCTAATAGCCCCGGGTTTAGATCTGAGGTCGACGAGTCTTTGATTGCCTTGCCAGGTAGGAAGCCGAAGGCATTGACGCGGTAGTTGGAGTATATAACGATGTAGTCGTTGATATTACTGACGTTGAGGATCGGGAATGAGGATGGCGGCATGGTGAATGCCGCGCTGCCTTGGATGAAAGCTCCACCGTAGAATACGACCAGCACTGGTCTGCTAGTATCCTTGGCCATGTCCCATGGCCGTGAGAATAGACCCAGATAGAGACAATCTTCGGTGCCGTTGACCGTGCGCTGGGGGCACATGTCGAAGTCCTGGTTTGTGTCATAGGGGTCTCCGGTAATCTTTAGTGGTGGCTGAGGCGCGCGAAAGCGGTTCTCCCCTATTGGTGGTGCAGCAAATGGGATCTTGCGAAAATATGACAGGTTGTAGGTACTGTCATATTGACCTTTGAAGGATCCGTAGTCAAGGGAAACTAGAGGGTTGTCCCATGCCGTGCTGGCTGTGACCCCGAAGCCGAGGAATAGGGTGACAATCAGGTCAGAGAACCTCATCTTCGGGTTTCGACGGCTTTGGGTTCAAAGTTTTATTGTTTCATTCATAGCTGTGTTCAGCCTGGTGGGCCCCAGGTCATATATAGCCAGGCCATTCATAGCCTTTCTGTGCGCAATGAGGAAGCATCAGCCCCGTGTGACGAACAATCGCATTCGGTAGAGGAAGCCCCGAACTTCTCTGTGTGGCTCTCAAACAATTTGACCATTTCCAAGTAGACACTCTTGGGCTTAGGTACGAGAGCAGCTCATTGGTGCAGTTATTGTTGATGCCCGGAACGAAATGCGGGGATTTGTGCAATGGTTGTCAATTCGGACTCGATCACCCCGATAGATCGTTAATCATATAGAGAAAAAAAATTATAGTTAGCTGGCGAATCCCCAGGACAACTAGTTATATTTATATTCAACCTCAAGTCCACAATTAATGTGTCAAAAAGTAACTGTCAAAGGAGTCCCCGTGTGAACAAAGCCCAAATAAATATAGTCCTCTCCAGATTCCAATCCTGAAAATGCATCCTTGTAAGAAAGCCAAACTCCAGATCCAATTTCCATGCAAAATAATGCAAGTTAAAACAAGTATTATCACAAATCCCCATTCTCCTAACCCAAAACTCCATCCCCAGCCGTCTTGTCTCGTAGATCAAACATGGCCCCAGAGCTGTACTGTTTACATAGTCATACGAAGTTCTCTAGTGCGACGCCGAGTTGCCCGAGCATCACGGCGAGACTCGGCTGCATCGCTAGTCTCCGTTTCTGGGGTATTTGTATCGGACAGCTCGGGGGTGGGGGTGATCCCAAAACTAACACCGCGGTCCCGGCGACAGATACGTGATTGTGCGTCGGGGGACAAGAACCGATGGATGGTGCGGTGATCCATTACTCGCTCTTCACCATCCGGGCTTTTGTCTGTTGATGGCCACTGGTATCCGTACAGCTTGGAATGGCGTTCGCAACGCGGACATTCACGTCGCGTGAGGTATGAGTTTGACTGGAGAAACCATGTATCACAGGTCTGGCACTCCACCCAGCGGTCGTACTTCTGGGCAAGCAATCGTGATGTCTTGGTATAGTCTCCAGGGACTCGGGCAACTTGTGACTCGGTCTCGACGGAGTCTACGATAAATCGCCGCTTGGTGCGAGGCTTTCGCTTTTTGGGCTTATCCACAATGGCGTCGTCTAATTTAGTGGAATTTGATAAGTCTGATAATCCTTCTTCGGGGTCAATGTCCATGGGATGGGCGGTGGCGGGCTGACCTTCAGGAGAGGCATCGGGATGATCCTCGCCGTTGAGTGTTTTCGACTCAGACGGCTCTAGTATAGTATCTTCTGTCTTGATCTTGGTTCCCATATCGTCCACAGTTGTGGGGGTCGTTGACGTCGACGACCGGTGGGATTCATCAGCGGTGGAGTTTGGAGATTCGCAGTCCGTGGGGATAGTAGAATTAGTTCCCTCGCTTGGTTGTCCCACCCCTGTGACAACTGGGAGGGGGGTTGCTGGATCAGTTGGCGATGCCACTGCGGTTAGCTCTGTGATCTCTTTCTTTAACTCGGACACCTGGGGCCCAGATTCCGCCAGAAAAGCAGTTGGAATCAGTACAGTATCCTGAATAGGGGTGTCGTCTGGTCTGCGGGTTGGACCTGACTCCCCAGCGATTTCAGACACCGAGATCTCTTCTCGCAACTTAGAAATTTGTCGTTGGAACTTTGCACGTTTGCGCGGAGTGGAACAAGTCAAAGTAGAAGAGCTCTCGGGTTCATCCACGTCTGAGCTGCGTCTACGCTTCCTGCTCGCATTGCTATCTTCGGCGGGTGTGGCTTCGGACACGGGGCTGGACTCTTTGCTGTTTGCTTCCGTGTCAACAGTTGGAGACCAGCCATTCCGTACAGCGATCTCGCAAGTATGACACAAACACTCGCAGTTATCAACGCCAAAGTAGTCCTCTCCGTAGGAAACCGTGATCTCTTCCCCCTCGTGGATGTCACGCATGGCTACGACGGACATGCCCTCGTTGCCTCTAGTTGTCAAGCTGCCATTGGCATCACAGTCATGGTTGGCAAAACGAGCAGGACCCAGAAAGAAGGATGGGGTCTTGCGGCGACTCGACATCACAATACTGAAGTCTTTGCGGGTCAAGCCGAGATCCAATTCTTCTTCATGGGTCATAGACACAAGCGTTCCACTCAGGTGTTTGATCTCCTCGCCCTTTTTGATGAATCTGCGGGCGCAGATCGCAGCCTCATGTTGCGTGATAATGTATCGATTAGTCGTGGTGACCTCAAAAGGACAGTCTGGAAGATACATCTGAATGTACTTGCGGAGGTGTCGGCGGAACCACTCCTTCTCTCGAGGGCTACGGAGGTTTGTCATATATTTCTTTAAACCTGATATCTCCAGCAGCTTGCGTTCCGCCGTGGGGATATCTTTGTCGACAATCACATCGTGGAGAAGAATGCGCCCAATATCGTCATCGTGGATTCCGCGGGCAGGGCTGTACTTGGTGCGATTCTTGCGGGTGGTGGTCCAAAAATAGGCCTATTAATAGTAATTGTCAGTAGACAGATCTCTGTGTTGAATTGCAGGCAAGAAACATACGTGATCCACTAGCGCATCGGTTGCGACATCGTCATAGCTGGCCAGTTTGGCCAGGGTCAAGCGCTCGCGACGTTCGGCAGCAGGCGAGTTCTTTCGCGCTCTCTTTGGGGGCATGGTGTATGTAACAAAAAGCTGATGACCGCTAGAGATCGAAGCGGGAGAGAAGATGTGGTCTCATAGAATGCAGAGCGGGTGTAAAGGATAGTCAGGAAACGGTGGAGGGCGGAGGTCCGAGGGATGGGGTCGAAAAATGATTCGAGGCGCAAGACGGGAATTAAAATGAGTGACTGACAATCAACACAAGGAACATAATGAGGTGATTGTCACCATTGAGGCTGTTCCAAGGAGAAGGGCCTCCTTCGCAGATGTTTTTAGGGGCGGAACGGACACTCGGGAGTGCTAGCTGAGACCTTGCCGTCTCTTCTACTTTTACTCTTCCGCCTTTCCCTTTCGACGTGTTGTCCTTTTCTCTACTAGTAAATATTAGATACGAAGTGTTTGATTATTGTTATCATTTCATTTTCTACTCCGTATAGGTTTGTTTTGACTTGATTTTACGCGTCCAGCTCGCATACAACAATATCCACCGTGCGTCAAGCCATCCAATCCTTCCCCCATGCTGTATCACCACAATTACACCCAATCAATATCAATTTTTGAGATCAAGTGATCAGTCTTTTCTCTCTCTTGCGCGTAAAATATATAGTATATTATCCCTCAATAGGTATTTGCTGTGGAATATCCGCAACCAATGAACTGCTGGAGCACCTGATGGATCCAAGTATGAACATAGTATCTTCGCTTTCGAGGGATTTTCTACAGATAAATGGTGGGTTTCGAGTTTAATCCTGTTCTAGTGTATCTCGGGGGTGTAGAAAACGAGTCTACCTAGCTAGGTAGGAAACTAAGAAAAATCTAAGATTATAGATCTGAATATAGGATGTTGCTCAACTATATATTTCACCCACACGGCATGGATTGAGACAGCAAAATCCCACTTAGGATGTTACTCAAATGACTAGAATAAATATATTGTATGATTATTATATCAATACAAGTAAGAGTAATAGACACACAACAGCCCAGGGTATATTTTGATCAAGCGGTGCTTCTCATGCTTGCTTAGGACGCACCATGATTGACATGTTCAATTGGAGAACCAACCTTGGGAAAAAAAGATTTTTATAAGCACAGAACCAAATTGAACCGAGATTCACAATAATTGAACAGTAACACGAAATTAATTCCTAGAGAATCCAACTTGAAGTCCTATTCGATCTTGTATAGAAGGCATATAGGCCCGGATAAACCTACTCTCCGGGGAAACCTCCCTCCGGCCGCGAGAACAAATTGCGGACAAGCGCTATCTCCAGACCAAGCACCAAAACACAATGATTCAATTAAAGGTGCGCAAGCGATGCCTGTTACCGTCTCGAAAAATACTGACCCCTCCGCCAGACACTATTAAGTTGCATCGACAACTCCGGCGCCTCGATCGTCGAGTGCGTGAACGTCTTGAAGAAGAAGCGGCCCGCGACAATCGGTCAGTCTCCACGACACTCGAACCCAACATGAAGCACAGCAAGAAGGGAATTGGGAATTCAAGCTAACATTATGACTGGGGATCTAGGCGATCGGATAGTCGTCGTCGTCCAGAAGCAGCGATCTGCAGGCTCCGAAGCCACCACCGCCGCTGCGCTCGCCAGTAAAGTCCGCCGTGGTGATATTCGTCATGCCGTTGTTGTTCGTGTGAAGAAGGAGTTGCAACGGCCTGATGGATCTCTTGTCCGGTTTGGTGATAACGCGTGTGTATTGGTCAACAAGTCCGGAGATCCCATCGGGACGAGAATGAACGGTAAGTGCCAATCGGGGAGTCCAAGATAACCGCCGTCTCCACGTTTTCGATGCTGATATCTCGACAGGTGTGGTGGGACAAGAGCTACGGAACAAGAAGTGGTCGAAGATCTTGTCATTGGCGCCGATCCATGTTTAATATTTCAAGTTTCTACATCTGTTGGAGAGCGCTTTTTGTTTTTTTATTGTTTCAATCCATATGTATTCTTAGTAGATGGCATCAGTTTCACCCCCGTTCCGAAATCTCCACGCATCTCTCCGTTCCTGCTCCGAAAAATTCGCCAAACTCCTATGATATCGCAAAAAAAGAAAAGAAAAAGAAAATAAAACATTCAAGGGTATCGGAAAATGGAGACCGCATTGCAGAAAGAAATCACATGTAAACTTGACCGCATGCGCAACAGACGTAGTAGAGTTTCTGAGGAAATAGAAGCATAAGTCAGCGCATGATTCTATATTAGAGGGAGGGTCGGGGATCCATCAGAGGATTAGTTCTCACCATGCCGGTTTCGGCGGATCGTTGTTGTGATTGGAAGAAGACGGCTTCGGTTTCGCCGCAGCTTGGACAGAGCTTGTTGGCTCGTGGGAGCTGCAAATGGGGGTTAGCCTAGATGCTCATGAAGCTATTGAGCTGGGGTAGACGCCCGGGGCTCGACTTCAGGGGACTCCAGGCTGTCACCCGCAGGCGGCGCATCCTCGGGGACATCCTCGTTCGGGGCGGGCTCGCAAACAGAACAAGAAATAATATCACCGCATAGGGTACAAAAACCAGGATTACAAACCGTAGGGTCAGAGGTCACATCCTGAGTCACACCAGCAGTATCACCAACTTGGCTATGAAGGTGGTTTTGGTAGACACAGTGGGACGAAGCAGGCTCGCCGACATGGCAGGTGCGGCACGTGAACATCAATTGGTTATTGACGCGGTCCTCCTTGGGGTAGAGGAGGTTGGAGCTTTGGAAACGTTAGCGATATGCCCTCGAGTCATCAATATCCCTCAAAGGATAAACTCCACGTGGGAACTTGGACTGAAACCTACCATTCACGGCAGAACTTGAAGTGAATTTGATCTGAGGGCTTGGTGTCGCCACCAGCCGTGGAAGAAGGGCTAGCAGACATGCTGCAATGATTGGTTTCAGGATTCGGGGTAGATGTGGTGTATTGAGATCCGAGATGCAGAGTAATCTCTGAGAATATGGAGAGAGAGGCACTTGAAGATGGAAGAAGTAATCGCATATTTAACATGTCCCTCCATGGCCAGTGATAGTCGGATGAATGATATTCCGAAAGCCCGAGAACACACAAGTCACGTGGTTGGTACTGTCAGGTGAAGCTTGGAATTACCTATTTAGGCATAGTACCTAGGTACCTTGAATGCCTATAGGTCCACGGACAAATGACTCAACTCAATCCCCGCGCCCACGGGCGTTTGCAGCAACAAATTGGGAACCTCAATAAGGCATTGATTGAATTGTTAACCTAACAATTACATTGAAATTTGTCTATTGACCCTGGAAACAATGCATAACTATGTATATTATTGACATACATGTATTGTATTCATGTATTCATGTTACATACATAGCTAAATGCATGTAACTAAATAATTAAGGGTAGGTACATCCCAATCGCACCTGTATTATAATAAATTATATCTTTCCTTTATTGTGAGATCTTCCATATGTCATCTATTCAAATCTATATATGTAGATAGTTGTCATAACTACGTACATATACATATGTAGTCAACTACGGAGTAGATGGTGATCTTAAACTTGAAGAGCTAAAGCTTGGACATGTTTGTGTAGTTTGCAACTGCTCACCCCGCAGTTTCCGTTCACATACAACCGGCTTGTCACTTAGATCGTTGTACCGTTTACTTTGGCGAAATCCGTTGGAGTCATATTGTTCTGTACATTATTATTTACTCGAAAAATTATCAGAATCTTTTAGATCCGATATTGAAAAATGGTAAGATCAAACCAATTCTGAGTGTTTGCATAGCTGACCCTTTGACCTAGGCCGACACAGGTCTTCCCACCGGTTGGGAAGTTCGCCATTCCAACTCTAAGAATCTCCCATACTATTTCAACCCTTCCACAAAAGAGTCTCGCTGGGAGCCACCTGCGGAAACCGATACCGATAAACTGAAAGTCTACATGGCGCAAAACCACACCCCAGCTGCTCGCCCTGATGCCTCTGGCGAAGGCGAGGGCAAGATCCGCTGCAGCCACTTGCTCGTCAAGCATCGTGATAGTCGCCGTCCCAGCAGCTGGAGGGAGGCTGAGATTACTCGCACAAAGGAGGAGGCTATTGAGATCCTCAAGGGTCACGAACAGCGCATTAAATCCGGAGAGATCACTCTTGGTGACCTGGCAGTCGCTGAGTCCGACTGCAGCAGTGCCCGGAAGAAGGGTGATTTGTGAGTTTTTCTAAGTGATCGACATCCCAGATGCCCCACTAACAACTTGAAGGGGCTTCTTTGGCCGCGGCGAGATGCAGAAGGAGTTCGAAGATGCCGCTTTTGGCCTCCAGCCTGGTGAAGTCAGCAGCATCATCGAGACAGCGTCCGGAGTTCACCTCATTGAACGGTGAGTTTTATCCCGGAAGTGAAGTTATTTACATATGGCTAATCCTAGATCTCGGTCTCCAGTGTCCAATAATCGCATGGTCCCGCCCATGTCTTAGTCAATTCCGCTACGAAAAATTCCGATCGCCTCAATACTTGCACACGCTGGTCTCACGTTTTGGAATAATTTTCAAAAGAAATAAAATACAATGAATGAAATGCCATCTTTGTTTTCTTCTGGCTTAGAATGTCTTGTGTCTTGTCTCGGGCAGGACCAATCGAGTAGTGGAATCTGCGACAGCCTTCCACCCGCCATAGAAAGATGCTAATGTATCTTTTGATGAAGTCTCAAAATTCCCAGCTTATTTTTGAAAGAAGATTTGTATCACGGCAGGACTTGAAGCTTGTCATCTCTCTTGATTTCCAACAAACATGATGGAACTCGAGGACGTGCCTGATATAAACACATCCAAATCTAATAGGCTCTGCCTTAGGCTAACAATAACGCATCTTAGGCTTAGTACATGTACCTAGGTAGTTTCGATCGATGGAAGGTTCCAACAAAAAGGTAAACGGAGAGCCAAATAAGCCGCAAGATTACGGCCGTCGAGGTTCAAATAAGGATGTCAAAGGGAGCGTATGCGATACACTGCTCTTACAGACGAGACATCTCCCGGCTCTTCTACTCTTATTCAACCATCCTTCCTCTCACTCTTTCTTTCCCACCCACAACCTCTCTTTATTACTTCTTTCCCCCCACACTGTCTTCTCATACACCCACCATGAACAACGTCACACTTAAACTCCGCCAGAAGCGGTCCATGGCGCGCCTTCTTAATCAAGGCCGCTCGATTCTCGACTACAACTTAGACCCAAACGCCTTCATCCTCCCCCGGTGGATCCTGGTGCCCCCTGAGGTGCGGAATGCCATGCTCACCCTCCACTACAAAGCCATGGTAGCAGTCTACGGCATGAAGAGTCTCATGATCGCCCGCGACCACCGCTACTTCGAGCTATGCCCCAAAGACATGGGCCCCGCTGTCTACCAGCTCCATCAATCCTCCATGCGTCGTCTCCTGGAATGGAAAGAGGATTGGAACTTCGCCGACCCGACCCTTGCAGCCTCTGCCAAAATCCCCCGCAACACCCTGCAGTTCTGCGTTGACTCGATCGCCTACGGAAAGTTTGCCTGCGATTATACCGACAGGATTGACGTCTTTATGTCTGGTCCTTTCCAGAGCTGGCGTCAGTTTCGTACGGAAGTCGGGCACTTGGCCTTCCGTCTCATGAGCCATAGTCCCCACGACTATAACGAGTGGCGTGCCTGGTGGGAGGGCAAGTTTGCTGATGACATGTGGAAATGGGAGGTTTGCCTCGAGGGCATGATCCTTCCTACCTGGGAGGAGATTATCGATGATGTTTACCTGATGATCAATGATCGAGTTGAGGATGCCCAAGAGTTGGCCAACTCGTTCTACATTAGCAACCTGAGGGTGGATTCGACAACTTAGCTTGGCTCTAAGCATCTGTGCTTTTATTTTCAGCAATTATGGTTCAATGGATATGACAACGGTTACGATAACAATGTGGCTTGGGATTTAAGGTCTGGGTTCGGCGTTGGTACGGAGCAGCCTGATGGGAATCAGGGATTGAGATAACCGGAAGTTTTGGGTTTTATTTTTTTATCTTTTTTTAAAAACCCTATTTCCCCGAGAAATGCAACAAACTACATAACATGTAATCTACAACGGATTGTCACAGTTGAGGGCGAATGCGCTATATGAAAATAGTAGTTTGACCTAAACAAAGTATAGTGGACCAAAGTCCACAACACTTGTTTCCTAGATTTCTATTGCCTGGAATCACTATTAGAAGCCATTCAGACCATACGTACCTAATGATCTGATATCTGATTGCCCAATGAAAGAAAAAGAACATTGACTTGCCTGTCAATGGTCACGTGTGTATTTGAACCCTACATACATATCGATAGCAGCAGCCCTGGAGGAGAACAAAGAGAGCCACTTAGGTACCTTGTCACTGGTTGTTTTCTGCATAAGGAGTAAAACAAAGAAATTAGACAAAGAAAACCAGACAAAGAAACACCAGGGGAAAGACGGAGAGAGCAACTAAGCCTGAAGGAACATATGGTCTTTGTCAAAGTTGGAACTGTCTCTAGAGTTGACTTGTCAATCAAAGCTTTCTTCTATGACTATGTATAGCTCTGAATGAAATTGGCGATTGAAGTATAAGATATACGGTCTCATCTGTACACTTGACTAAACCCTCCCAAAGTACCAACCCAACGATATTCGATCTCTCCATCCCCCGAGATGTGCATGTACTGGACCTGCAAATATACCCTATGCGGCTGTATATGGGACATGGATCCATCAAAATGCCTAGACAAGCGCGACTGTTGGGGTCCAAGAATGATCACACTCGAATCTCATACAGCGACATGCGCAGACTGTTGGGCAAGAGGAGACATGCGGGTTTACGAACCACAAACATACGACGGAGCTAACAGGGACGGAGATGTTTCCAAAACGGTGACATTAGACTGTGAAAGCGATGCAGAGCGGAGTGATAATAGCTCCGACGATGACGAGGACTATTTTTCAGCTGAAGAGTTCCCATCGTCATCCGCATACCCGCGACCAGCGACCCCGCAATTATACTATGAGGTACATTTGGAGCTGTGTCCCGTATCTGAGGATAATGAGTTCGATTTGACTAGGGCTTGTGACCCGGTGGATCTTGCGTCGATGGGGAGGGACTATCGAGCAAGACGCCACAAAACGACTGCGTCCCAGTACTCATCGGATGGTACGAATTCTTTTGTTTCTTGTGAGGAGTATCTCGATGAAGAAACTCCCGATGAGGAAGATTTTGGTTCTGGGAACAACGAAGATGATGTCTACTATAACATGGTGGGTCCCACTGTTAGGCCCAAAGGCCTGATCAAAAGCTTGGAGGACAGATCGTTGTGGTTATATGGCTCAGTGCAGGAGTACTACCTAACGGAAGAATAGGAGAGATAAAGGGCGAACTGTCATATGTCGCTAAATGTATTAGATGTTAGAGACTCCCTCATTTCCCTAAAAGGTCTTTGTATGCAATTATTTATCATTCCGGATCATCCCAAGAGTAGCGTCGAATTATTGTCAAATTATTGTGTAGATCGTAACAGGATAAAGAGGTGTGGACCAATGCAAAAGAGCGGTTTTTTGAAGCTGTCAAAACCAATTAAGAGGAGGAATGTAGATATAGACCAAAACTGACACGTTATAAGAAGGTTTGATGGCTTTTAACTTTTGCCTAGATCTAGCTTAGAACAGCGTAAGGCTTAAGGTTCAAAATTCAAAAAGTGGCTCATCTCACAAGCCTCGTAGATTGATGCGTAATAACATACATGTGAAAAACTAGATCCTCCGATAACACGCAGAGCTAGACAGTTCACAAACTCGTGTTCAGTCGTTCCAAACGTGAAGTGATCGCGTCAATAACAGCGGACCTGGAAGAAGGTTAGTCATCGATGTGCTGTAGATAAACGAAAGAAGCCACTCACTCTCGCTCGACCATCCTCATCGCATCTGCAATCTTGGCCCGTTGCAGCCGTTGGGGCACTTTAGGCTGGCCCCCAGGAGAGGACGGAGTTCCAAGGTCTGGAGAAGGCATTTTGCCTGCGACAGACTTGGTTTGGGCCATAAGATCCAAAGCAAGGCGTTTAACCTAGATAATATGTGAGTATTCTAGTTGAGATGAATGCGAGAAAGACAACACTTACAGTCTCCAACCGTGAGATCAATGGTTGATCCTCCTCTTGGTCTTTGTCCTGCTGTAAGGATGCGGACAATGTCTTCACCTCCGTTATCCAAGCCTTCTCCTTTTCGCTCAGAGGGCGACCTCCAGAATTCAAGACCTTCGTGCGCAGTGCCTCATATCGTCGGTTGAGCTCATTTTGCTTGTCCTGGGCGGCTTGCAGTCTCTTGTCCAGTGCTTCTCCAGTTCGAACTCCCTCCTTGCGGTGCCCGTCTGCCCCAATCTCACTAGTGACACCCTTGACGCGCTCTGCAACATCTGCAAGCTGCTTCAATTGGTCCTGCATCTCGCCCTGCAGCCGCTCACAGCGGCGGAATAAATCCGAGGCCGCCCGCTCAAGAGCATTTGTATGAGCAGATAGCACGCGATGCGCAGTAGCCACAAGATCCAATGTCGCAGGAGACAAGCGCACTTGCTCCTTGAGCGTGTGGCGCTGCCGGTGCGGGACGTGCTTCTCGACAAAGGAATCCAGTGGAGAGTTGGCGTAGAAAATAGCGGGAACCTGATATGGGGCTCGGCTTGGGGGCAAAATAGGCAAGCCTGGCGCTGGGGCCCTGGGCTCATACAGCGATTTGTCCAGTGCCACGGACAGAGAATCTTCTGGTGTATCTATTACAGCTGCATATGGGTTAGAAGGATGGTAGGTGAGAAGCAAGTAGCCGAGGTCGAAGTCGTAGAAGACAAGAGACGTGGCAAGGTGTTCGTTCTGCACGGTAATATCGGCATCCAAAACCTGCAAAATTCTCTCCCGGTTGGTCACATTCCCGTCGCAGAGAACCTGGAGACGGAAAGCAGAACCTGCGGTGTCTTCTGCTTGCAATTCAGCCTCCAGTCTCGGTACCCAATTGGATAGAGATAGGAACACCACGTTGGTGGCAGTGGTGACAAAGAATGAGTATCGAGAATGGACATCCTTAGTGAAAGTAGGCCATGTAGCTGTTTCCTCTCCATTCTTGATTGTATCCAGTGATTCAACCAAGACCAATTCAGTCGGCTCGGAAAGAGGAGTCCGGAACGCATTCTTTCTAGCCTTTGGTAGCCATTGTCCTTCAACACCGTCGAGTTCCAGGCAGATGTGGACTCGCCCATTCCCACTAGTAAGAGAGAGGACCGTTGCTGAAAGTCTATCTTGGTCTGCGGTTTCCACGGCTAATTCTTCTTCCTCGCCCATCATGAGATCCTCGACGTTTAGACTGGCAGCAATGACAAGAAGATCACAGAGATCCAAATCATCGAGCTCATCGCCATTATCGAAGCGGAAAGGCCCTTGCAATCTTGGAATGGCGCTAGGATTGGCTGGACGAGTGAACACATCTGCGCCTTGGATTGTTTCTGATCCAGAAGGTGTATCCAGAGGCTCTTGTTCATCAAGCTCTGAAAGCCAGTCGTACTGTTGCCGGCAGGCAATCAATTCCTCCTCCGATTCCTCGGGTTCTTGTTCCAGAGCACCAAGTTTCGGGATGATCGCCGCGGAAAGAGAAGGAATGGTTGTAGAAGGGGCTTGCCACTTAGAAGGCAGGAGAGGACAAAGCGCATAGAGATCACCGGGTCTCATTGCCACCCACAGAGTCATAGGCGCCCATGCATCTTCTTTCTCATTTCCATTGCCAGCGAAACAGGCTGACGCAACCTCCATGTCAATGACATCAGCAGAGAATCCCTTGTTTTTGCCAAATCCAGAAGGTGTGAAGTCCTGGTCAGAGGAGGTCCCATCGACCAGCTTCTTCAGATCGATTGCGAGGGTCGGCTGGTCAAAAGACCAGTGATTGTTCCGGTCTAACTCCCACACACGCACCGCAGCGTCAGCTGTGATTGTAACAATACAGCCCCCTAGATTGGTGTGCAATCCCAGTGGATGCCACAGCGCGGAGACCACTGGAGCCTCAGGAATAACATGGGTTGTCGGTCCTAGCTGATATGTCTTCAGCCGGATAGAGTCGGAGTCGGAGGACGAAAGGTGCGAAGAATCGGGGAGAACGGAGATGTGAACGGTGTGTTCAGTGACGATGGCAAGGAATGCGCCGTTGGGGGAGGGGATGATCTGCTTGATCAGTCCGTACACAGGCACTGCTAAAACCTGCAGAACTGTTAGTCGCAATTCAATTCAACCCAAATTTGGTTCTCGTAGGTGTAATATATGTTCATACCCTATAGGGAGGAAGCTCAGTGTGGTCGGCTTGCTGTTCACCTTGACTAGCAGATCCCTTCTTCTGCTTAATCTCTTGTTGCCATTGGTCTTTGAGTCGGGCAAGGTTTGACCACCGAATCTCATTGTCAACAACGGCGAACACTTCATTTCCTCTCTTAGCGATCGTTCGCGTAGGTCCATTGCTTGTAGGCCTGGATCCATTTTGCAGGTCCTCCGCTGGACTTTGGGCTGAACTGCTAGACAGGAACTTTGCGCCAGGCGAGGGCCGGCACAGCCAGGCAGGCGCATAACTGTTGACCTTCGGCATTAAGGATGGTTCGTAATTTGAATTGTATAATCAGAATGTGTTAAGAGTCTCAGACCATCCTGGGGCGGTCAGAAATAGCAGACAAGTGGTGCGGGTGAAAAAAACAAAGTTGACGAAAGCAAAGTTGTTGATGCGGAGTGGAATTCTTGGGTGCCAAGATCTTTCGAAGAGCTCCGAGCTGCTTTGCTTCCCCAACTACCTTCCGTCAACCACACACTTCAAAAGTTCACCTTTCCTCTAAATTCACCATGAGTTTGCTGGCTGTAAATACAGTCGACCGATTGGATCGACCTAGCGCATACTATGTTAGCAAGGTGAGCACTCGCCCAGGACTTGCCCTTTACTAAGCTGTGTCGAAACCAGTCCAAATGGACAAGAGGCTGAACCACTGTACACAGAACAAGCGACGCAGATTCAACGATCGAGAGGAGGATGAACCCCAGCAACAGGAGAAACCTGACGACAAATTGAAGAACGCGACAACCCTCTACGTGGGAAATCTGTACGCAAACATGCAATATCCTAGACTTTAATCTCCGTTACTGACCAACTCAAGTTCCTTTTATACTACCGAGGAACAAATCCACGAACTCTTCGCCAAGTGAGAATGCGCCTTCGGTCCCCTTCGAATTATGATTAACCTCGAATTCCAGGTGCGGTGAGATCAAGCGACTTGTAATGGGCCTCGACCGGTTCAACAAAACGCCCTGCGGCTTTTGCTTCGTCGAGTATTATACCCACCAGGATGCACTGGATTGCTTGAAGTATATTGGAGGAACCAAGCTGGACGAGCGCATCATTCGTACGGACCTCGACCCTGGATTTGAGGAAGGACGGCAGTTCGGGTATGTGGTCTTCGCCAATTGCGGCTCCGGGCAAGTAATGACTGACTTTCTCTGCAGACGAGGCAAATCGGGCGGCCAGGTGCGTGATGAATACCGCGAAGAATACGATCCGGGCCGTGGTGGATATGGCCGCGCCTATGATGAGCAACGCCAGCGCGAGGAGGATGAATACGGCGCCGGAAGGTAGGTCAGGACATAATGGAAATCTACTAGCTTGGCAAAGCAATGGCGTTACTTCATGGGAGGGTGAATCCAATTAGCAGAAACAGGAAATGTCTATTCACCGAATACCCTATTTACAAATTTCTTTTTTCCCCCGCCACCTTCTAATACTGGCGATTATTGCTTTAACTTATCACGTCTCAGCACTGCTGCTTGAACTTCGCGCAACCACCAAGTGTGAATTCTTGCGTCGCCTGTCAGCTCCGGGTGGAAACTGGTGCCGAATACATTGCCCTGTCGCACTGCAACAATGTCACCAACTTCCTGGTCAGGATTGATGTCTCGTCCCTCCGTTGCGCGTTGAGCAGCCGGCCCCACTAATGTTGCTAGTACCTCGACCTGTTCTGCTGTTGCTGCTTGCGCCACTGAGTCTCGTACTTCTCTAGATGGCGCCACGACAACATCTTCCTGTTGAATCTCTTCGGTTTGAATGCCCTTGTGGTGGGGAAGAATCTTTTCGACGATAGGAGCTCGAATGAATACTGCTGGGAAGGGAGGCGCGTCTTGGCCCAAGAATGGCAGATCCAATGGGCCTTGGAAGCTTTCTGTCTGTCGACCAAAGTGGTTTCGGTTCACTCGCACATCAAGACCACCGATCAGCTCCTGCCCACCCTTCTTTGTCCTGTTGGCAGATTCAGCGAGCAAAATAAGCCCGGCGCATGTACCCCACGTTGGTTTGCGATCCACTCTATATACCCAACGTGTTAGATCGAATTGATTTTGGACTGACCAAATTCACTTACTTTACGAATTCCCGCAGTGGCTCGAGAAGATTTGACCTTGCTGCGACCAAAGACATGGTGGTACTCTCACCTCCGGGCAAGACCAGACCATCGCATGTTGCCAGTTCTTGTGGCGTCCGTACTTCAATGAATTGCCATTCTGACGACGGCACTTGCTCGGCAGCCTTTTTTAAAAGTTGCACATGTTCAAAAAATGCGCCCTGTAGAGCCAGAACTCCGACGGTAATAGCCATTGTCTCTAAAGATAGGAATTGAGGACTCCGAGCTCGGGTTCTTCTTGATATTGATGACTCGTTTCGATACACGTGATTTAAACTTTCCGGCGGGGAACTTATCGTCACATGATAGTCTCTTATCGCCATCTTTAATTCCACGCGACATCAAGAACAGCATGGGAGCCTTACGCAAGCCTATTCCTAACAGACTCTTTTGGAAGATTCATGTGCTCACTTTACTCTAAATCTAATACTAGAACCCCGACTAGATAGCCCTGGCCATCATAGGAGAGACAACCAAATTCACATAATGAAGGGGTGATAGGCCACGTCCAATGTATATATATTCTTATCCAGTAACTGTCGAAACATGATATCTTGAATAACCATAGTTATATTACATTTACTATTGCAGCCTCTCTTAGTTACACAATATTCATGGCATGATACGCAGCTTCTTCCCTCGTATGCCGGCCTATTCACGTTCTTGTTGGTACAGGCATCGATGACTCCGTATATTAGTTCCACACACCAATTATGCCTAGGTACACAGGTACGCCGCTCTGGGGCTGCCTTATCAACACGTGTTGATAGATAAGAACCCCGATAAGGAATATGGCCTCGGTGTGGGATGCGGAGCATCTTCGGTGCGAATATATACATCCGTTGTGGTAACAATGCAATGGTAGAACTCGGCGTGCCTGAACTTGTGAGTAGCCGCCGTGACTCTAGGAATGCATGCACTAACTAATATCAGACCAAAATGGCCCCCAATGAGATCAAACAGAACGACATCTCCAAGGACCAGCCCACGTTGGTCCGATGGTACATCGATGTCAGACATTGGGATGAAAAATATTCTGACCTTCCTTTTATCCAAACCTTAACTCAGTCTGATCAGACCGCCGTCAAGAAATACTATCAAACTTCGGACCAGCGCCTGTCTTTGGCCTCCCAACTGCTGAAATATTACTACGTTCACCAAGCCACTGGCACTCCTTGGAATAAGATTGAGATTCAGCGTACTCCGATACCTGAAAATCGCCCATTCTACGACTCAAGTCTTGATTTCAACGTCAGCCACCAGGCTGGTCTCACTATATTAGCGGGCACACGTGCCGCAACTGCTCACTCAATCAGTGGACCCCAAGGCTTGCCTCGTGTGGGAATTGACATTGCATGTGTCGATGAGCCCTCTCGCCGTCGCACTAATCGTCCCCCGAAGACACTTGCCGACTTAGTAACTTTCGTGGATGTCTTCAGTGATGTTCTTTCGTTCCGTGAGCTTGCGACCATCAAGAACCCATACGCGACTCTTAAATTGGCTCGTGAGCTTGGTCTCCGTAAAAGTGACCCGAGCAAAGACAACGAGGAAGTTCTCGCTGCCTACGGCATTCGGTTGTTCTACTCGATTTGGGCTCTCAAAGAGGCTTACTTGAAAATGACCGGAGACGGCCTTCTGGCCACTTGGATAAAGGATTTGGAGTTCACAAATGTTATTCCCCCCGAACCCGTTCGGAAAGTCGGATCTACTGGCGCCCCTCCCACTGTGTACTCAGTCCAAAATTGGGGCCGGCCTTACTCAGATGTCAAGATTTCCCTGCGTGGCATTGCTGTCAATTCTGTGCGCGTCCAGCTCGTCGCCTTCGAGTCCGACTACATTGTCGCTACAGCCGCCTCGGGGCCCAATATCGGAGCCGTTTCGCGGCAGATGGTCGTGAATGACAGCGATCAGCACCTGCCCGGATGTATCACAGTGCTTGATCCTGAGAAGGAACCTCAGAACGTCCGCATTGCCCCCCCTAGCTCTTCGCACAGTCGGCGACCCGGACCCCTGGTGCGCGGATTCGGAAATCAGCGACCCCTGGTTGCCCATGCAGGAGGTCGATATTGACATTGATATACGGTCTTGTGCCGAGGGCCGGTGTGAGCATTCCAGGAACGTGCCAGGTTTTTAAGACCCTCTTCCTAGGATATAACTCGGTGATCATCCCCTGAGTTACCTCCATGTTGCATCTCCTCATCTCATGTTCTTTTCTGAGCGAGTTTTTCGGCGTGATGATTTCCCTTAAACGTATTTATGCATTGCCTTGTTATGATTAACGAAAATGAAATCTCGCCTTGCATTCCAACTCTGCCCTTTGATTCTGATTACTAGGTCGTTTAATTCCAAGCGTAAACCCTTCTGTGATAATTATATTTCTTTTCAGGGACGCTAGGTGAGTGCCAGTTAGATACTTATCTTCAATATGCCCCTCAATGAATAACCAGTTTTCATGTCACTTTTCTCAACCTTTGAAGATAAAGTACAAATTGTGCGGAAAAGCACGGGTGAAGAATCCGTGCCTATTTCTATTCTATGTTCCAATGTAAACCAAACATACAGAAGTAAGAATGTCAAATATGCAACAGTAGCCGGGTCGTGTCATGCGTTTGCGCTAAGGATATATACATTTGAAATTGCAAAGAGGGAGGAGGTGAACCAAGAGTGAAAAGTGTGTCAAGAGGCAATGCCGATGTCTAGATCATTGTCATTCTCCTGAGCGGTGACGGATGGTGTCGGATAGATTCGAGGTCTGGGGCCCTCAAATTATATTTCTTGGGTCATGAACTGGAGAGCCAAAAGAATTGGGCAGGATTACACTGTAGTGAATGCCAAGGGCGGATTTCTTAAAATTGTAGGGCTCGGGCTTGCTCTCTCCGATTATGACCTTTATTTTGAATGCCCGATATTGCACTCAAACCAAGAGAGCCATATAGTAAGTGCCAATCGTGGAGCTAGGTATGTGGCGAATCACACTCTTGATTTGGCACTTAGATCTCAATGGCGCTAGAGACACCGTTGGCGCGAGCAGTATCGACTTCGTCCTTCTGCGCATGGGACATTCCTGCAAGAGTTTTGAGCATTGAATCCCGGGTCGACTGGGTCAATTTGTCCACATCCTCCGATGTCAAATCTTGAGTCGGGATAGGAGGCAAAACTATTTCAAAACTGTTAGTCATGATCTATCTCTTGGCAAGATCTAATATGACCCACCTTTAATTCTAATAGTTCCAGAGTTGAATCGCCAGGCACGAGGCGACAGAACGTGCGAATAGTTCTCCGTCACAATCGGCACAATTGGCACACCGGCCTTGACAGCGAGATGGAAAGCACCCTTCTTGAAGGGCAGCAGAGTAGGCTCATCGGAGTAACTCCGGGTGCCCTCAGCGAAAATGAAAACGCTCTGGCGGTGATCGCGCATCTCGGCAGCGGCACCATCGAAAGCCTTGAGGGCTGTCTCCCGGTTGGCACGGTCAATGAACACAGTCCGGGACAGAGACATGAACCAGCCTAGGAAAGGAATATTCCGCAGTGACTTCTTGGCAGTCACACTGCAGTATGGTGGGAAGACACAGCCCAGCATCAACACGTCGAGCTCAGTCTGGTGGTTACCAAGGAAGACGGCCGGACGTGTGGAGAGGTATTCTGCGCCTTCGATAACCTCGAACCTGACGCCGGTTGTGAACCGCATCAGCCACTTAAAGCTGCGACCTGCTGCCCATTGGGACACACGGCCGTATCCAACTAGCCGCAGACAGATCGAGACAACCACGCCGTACGCGGCACTAACGAGGAGACAGCCATATGAGGCGAGACAACGGGCAGCGAAAGCGGCGCGAGGCACTTTTTGACCGATTGCGAAGAGGGATACGGTTACCACCACGAAGGAGCTAACACCCGAAACAATATAAGAGCCGAAAGACATGATGACGGTTGTTAGGCGAGTCAATAAGAGCTGCGTAAATACAGTCAGAGGACGGAAATTACGTTTCTTGCGACTAGACGTACTTTTGTTCAGCGCTATGTGGGCAACACCCAGCCCAAGACTGCAATATGGCAAAGGAATCAGAGAAGAAAAGAAGAATAGAAGATCAAATCCAAAACTGAGCCATGCATGGGCTTGTGGGGAAGGGCAAATCGGAGTAGAAACGTTGAATCGTTTTTCTGCCCCGAGGCCGACTTACCGCCTGGCATATGCATATGACGATGTCACAAGGGCGCTTTGCGGGGATATGCGTAGTGTAGAATCAAGTATATTTTAAGAATTCGGCCAATAATGAGAATCACTTTCCTCAAAGAATAATGGAATTATGCATGCACCATCCTCATGATGCATTCCCAGGGAAAATCGTTCAACTAATGTACAGAACACCATCATATGCCAGATGTCTAAACCTGGAAAAGAAAACTCCACAGTGATGCTGTGCAAAGAGGCCCTCAAACGCCGAGTTCATAAAAGAGGGCCCCCGTGGGAACCCAATGGAAAGACCTGGGACATCACAGGCCTACGCTATGTCCTCATCCTCCATATCGTCGTCGTCCAACGACTCCATTGCGTCCTTGATGTATTGTGCAGCCTGTGTGGGATCACAGTCAGAAAGAACTTAGAAAGGTAGAAAGGGGAGAGAAATTTGGAGAAATATACTCCAAGACATACCTTTGGGTCCAAGTTCAAGGCCGCCGTGAAATGCTTGATAGCATTAGCCTTGTCGTGGAGCATTTTGTACAGCTTTCCAAGAAGGTAGTGCACGTTTGCCTCATCCGGCGCCATATCCTTCAGGACCTTCAATTCCGCCAAAGCAAACTTGTATTCGCGCAGCTTCATCAGTACGCGCGCCTTGCGGAACTTGGCTAATACCGAGTTGGGGGCTAGTGAGGAGGCTCGACCGTAGTGAACTAGGGCATCCTGGGGATTGTTCATCTTCTCCAATACCAGACCAATGCAGCAAATGAGCACCGCGTTTGTCGGGTTGATGCTGGCTGCATTACGGAAATGCTGCTCAGCGAAGTCAAGTTTGCCCATCTTGTCATACACCGTTCCCAATCCGTACCAAGCATTGTAATGTCGATTATCCGCATTGATGCCGTGGCGATAGGCCTCCAACGCCTTGTCGTATTCTTCGTTGGCAACGTATTCATGTCCCTGTAGCGTGAAAGCATATGCAAATTCAGGATCGATCATGGTCGCACGCTTGAAGCACTTGAGTGCTTGATCGTGATCTCGTTGGTGAGAGAAAGAGTTGCCAATAGCACACCATGCCTGAGGGGATAGGCGATCAGCTTCTAGTAGCTGATGGGCCAAGTAGGCCAGTTCTACATCACTTTTCAGATGCCACAAGACGGTTGAGTAGATCTCCATATCCTCGATGCGAGAGGGCGCTAATTTTTGAACCCTGGAAAAGTACTTGGCAGCTTCCGTGTAGCTTGCTTGTTCGAAATACGTCCGTCCAAGTTGAGACAAAACCCAAGGGGTTTCACGCTGCCCTTGGGAGAGAGAATTGAACGAGCTGATGGCGTCCGCGCACCTGTAACGGCTCAATGAGAAATATCCAGATGCAAGTTTATTGAAAAGACCCAAAAGCCAATCCAAGGCTTCAAGCTCTTTTGTTTTTTCAGCATTTTTGGGCAATGGGGGGATGGGGTGGGATTGTGACAAGCCTGTCCGATTATCTTTGCCATCATTGTCGGGTGTCTCCATGGGTTTTCGGTTGCCACTCACGACACGGCCAACAGTGGGCACACCTCCTACCCGTCCTTTTGTAGGTCCTCCCCTCAACTTCTTCATCTCGCGGCCATCCCTACCAGTAAGCGTGCTATTTGAAAGCTTGCTGGTTGTAGGTTTGATTTGGTTGAAGAGGCGAACACTTCGGCGCTGGGGTGCACCTGGTTCAGTCGGTTGTGACGAAGGAACGGGATGGGCGACTTGCCCAGAGACTGTGCGCTTGCGGTCGCCGAATCTCGATACGAGAGATGGGTCTCTTTCTACCGGAGCAGTCGGCTGAGTTTCTGGCTCGGTTCGTGTTTTGTGTCGAGGTCTGATGCCTGTTGGTCGCATTCGCGGCGGAGGCTGCCCGGTATGGTCAAGGCTCATAGTTTGGATTGTCCGCGTCTTTCGAGCAGGGGCCAAGGGTGCTTCCCATCCAGCTTCTGGATCAGTGACACCGTTCGCAATGCGGAAATCGTCAGAGCCACTGCTCTGTGCGCCTGGGGTCTCCATTCCATCGTGGAAAACCGGCTGTGCCATAGCAGCAAAATTGACAGAGCTCCCATTCAACTTTTCCCAAAGAGCAGAGCTCCCAAATGTGGTATCAGTCTCGCCACGGGAGGCAGAGACCATAAAAGGGTCGGATTCGGGGTTACCAGGAGGTTGCATGGGGAAGTTTCCTTCTTCGTAAGTCATGTTGTCTGGTGCGGTAGCTATTTCCTCTGGTGATGAAGATATAATTGCAAGCAGTTCTGGGCTGAGCTGAAAGATATTCGGGACTCGAATATTAACACCTGATATTACATTAGAAAAACCCCGCCCCAAGAGAAGAAATAAGCACATACCTGTTTCGCAAAGCCCCAGGAATGCATCCCACATGAAGGGGTTCAGTTTCAGTGCCTCCACGTAGCAGTCAACTGCTTTGGTCAAATCTTTATGTGCGTGCCAGAGTTTCCCCTGCAAAGAATAAACAGCTGCAGCATCAGGCAGATGTTGTCGCTGAGTTTCACTATGTTTGTCTGTAATGCGGTTAACGTCTGAGCCCAGAGTTGAACGAAAAGTTTGCCGGCGCTTACTCCAGTGGTTCTTGGAGGCCCAGAGGGGTTTGCTGCGCTCCAGAGCCGTCACACCATCCAAGTATTTCCCCAAGTCCAAACAAGCCTGAGCAAAGACATAGGCACATCCAGCATGCAGACCGCGCGAGCCCGAAGCTTGACTGCATTCGAATGCCGCCTTCACTTCTCCGTTATGTAGATGGCAAAGGGCGAGTAAATATTGGGCCTCGAATGATCGCGGTTCATAGGCGTGGAGGCGCGAAGCGAGGAAGAGCGCATTGCGGATTAGGTTATTGTCGAGTTGGTAATAGATGAGGTGCCTTAGCTGGCTGGCAACATGCCCGGTGGACAAGGCCATGGTGAGGGGTCGGCAATACGGTATGCGACAGCACAAGGCAAGGCGGGGATTATGTGGTGATTATTGAAAGTCGAGATAATAATGCGATTGGCAGAGTCGGTTCCTCAGCGTTACTGTAACATCAATGTCCGGCGCCTTTGTAATGTTCTCCAAGACGCGGGGAGGAAACAACGACGCGATCGAGTGGGTTGTTGCAGCGCGAGTGAATGGTCCCATCAACAACCGCAAGGCATGGAAAGCAGCAAGTCCGATGCCTTTGTTGAATTTGTCTAGATGCAGGAGCTATCGACTGCTCTCGGTACGCAGGTGTGGAAGAGGAATGTAAACCCAAGCCGGAAATGGTAAGCGGATGAAGGATAGAAAGAAGTGAAAAGGGATTCCTCTGGTTACGTCATCTGCAGACGCAGGATGAGTCTCTCAGAGTGCCAGGAACATTTCCAAAGAAGCGGAGGACTGCAAGATGTGCTCAAGACGGGATGAACATCGGCCGTTCTTTCTGTTATTTTGGTCTGAAGCGGCCTTTGTCATTTCTGCCGTTTTTGTAGGGCGGTCAGTGTAGTGGAGGGCAACAATCTCCCAATGTGCTATAGCTGTCATATGCAGGTCCCCTCTCTTGTTCTTCTCTCCGCTCAGCCTCGAATTCCGGTCGTTTGCTTGCCATTTGAAAGGGTAAAAGCTCGGTCAATTCATTCGGGTTATCTTGAATTTGGAAAGGATCCTCTTTGGCATCAGATTGCAGATCACTTAGTGATCGCTTTCAATCATGGCTCAGGTATGTGGAGAGGGCGCTTCCTTGTTGCAACTGAACTTCAGATTAGCTTTGATGATTGTGTGGGAAATTTCCTGACTGTGTCACAGAAAGCTGCCAAATCCCTGGCGACCCGCAATGGCGCCGTCCTCAGCCGTACCCACCTCATCTCTGCTGCATTGCACCTGCTCTTCCTTCTGCTGCACTTTGTCTTCCATCGGCCACGTTCACTGAAGCCATACTTCTTCCTGGCTGTTCCGACCCTTGCAATTGAATACTATTTGGACCGAATGGGTCGGCCCCGCTATCATGAAGATGGTTCCCTGCGCTCCGCCGGTGAGGATCTTAACGCAACTGGCCTGACGGAGTATATGTGGGACGTACTTTACTGGACCCAGGGATGCATTGTCGCTGTCTGCCTCTTCAATGACCGGGCTTGGTGGCTGTGGATTGTGATCCCATTATACTCCGTGTACGCTGCTTACACCACAATCATGGGTGTGAAGAAGGGATTTGCTGGAATGGGTGGTGGTAATGCCGGTCAGGAAGGCGATGCCCCAAAGAGCAAGACACAGATGAAGAAAGAAAAGAGAGGCTCCACTGTGAAGTATAGGTGATTTTGTCGGAGTGTGGGAGATATGTATAAAAATGAGTTGATGTAGAATGGGAGCTCTAGTGTTATTGTTATCTTTACTAGTTGCCTTCTTGAACACCCTTTTCGTTCTATGTCCTTATATATTAGAGCAAGTAACTTTTATAATACCCTCCCCCCTAAGTTCCAAGCTTTGCCTAAGTGTTATTTGATATACCGTGGGTGATAGCTACGGATGCCCGGCAGCTCAAGCAACAAACCATATACAATGCTCAAAATCCATTCATTCGTTATGTACCGAACATATATCGCTTTAAAACAAGCCTCGTATTTCAACAAGGGAATGACTGGAGAGAAACGCAAAATGAGAAGATAGAAGCCGGAAAAAAGAAAGCAAGACTGTGCATGTTGCAGATCATGAGAATATGGCCGTCGTGATAAACTATATGGGGAATAATGTGTTTTGAGCCACACATGGCATTCCCAAGGCATGGTTTTCGCTCGGAGCAAAACGAATGAGTCCGAATCAAAAGAGAAAAAAAAAAAAAAGAAAAGAGATGATACATGCGGGATTAAAATTGTTCAGAGTTCATCTTTGACTGAAGCTGCAGCACTCTTAATGCTACTTGTGGTATCTTCAACGTGGGATGCGGCGGTCTCGACTGCCTCGGATACAACGCTGCCAGCGCTGGCAGCTAGGTCAGCAAGCTGAGACTTGGCGCTTTCAACGGCTCCAGCAAGACGGATGGTTGCGCTTTCCATTGCGTTGGGTTCTTCGCCGTAGATAGCAGCGCTGGCTGTGGATTGAATATTCTCAATGGCATCCTTGGCGACATCGATGTAACCAGATTCCTGCCCGTAGACCGCGCTACTGATCTGAGCGGAAGCCGTTGAGTAGGCATCAGCTGCGGCTTCAGTGGCTTTTTTCGTAGGAACCCTTGGGGGTTCCGTAGATACCAACGCTGGCGGCTTCAACAGCAGCATGGAGTTGGTCATTTGCGTGTTGCACGATTTCCTCTACGTTCGGGACGTCTGAAACGATAGAAGCAGCGGCGGAGGACGCAGATCCATAAGCCTGGTTAATATAGCTAGAGGCAGAGGAGACAGCGGCAGCCGGGTAAGGCGTCTCGTATGCAGCGTGCAGCTTGCTCAGCACACTCTCGGTGAACGAAGGCTGCTTGCCCACAATTAGTTCAGAGACGAGCTCTTGGACTGCCTCAAACTGCGGGCGCCCGTTGCTCACCACTTGCTGCAGATACGGCGTTGGTGCACCGTAGATCTGCTCGCTGGCTTTGGAAATGAGATTTTCCCAGTTTTCAGATGCTTGGCTAGAAAGGGACTCTACAGGGCCCGTGGAAGTCCCATAGATGACCGAGGAGGCCGAGATGGAAGCCGCAGAGAGCGAGGAAGAAGCCGCAGAGAGGGCAGCATTGTATCTGGATGAAGCATCGTCAATGATGCTTTGTGCTTTGCCGCCATCCGCGGAAGAGACGGCCGAGCTTGCCGATGCGATGACAGCGGCAAGGCTAGCAGAGGCCAATGAAGAAGCGCGCTCGTATTGAGACCCAGCTTCCTCGATGATTCCCTTCGAGCTTCCGGCTGGGGTGGGATTTGGAGAACCATAAACCGCCCCAGATGCCGTAGAGACAAAAGCAGAGTAGTGGTCGTGGGCTAACCCGACTGCCTCGTAGTAGCGACGCTGCGCATCAAGGACAAATGGGTCGAGACCTCCCTGAGGAAGACTGGCTGTTGTCGCTGGGGGCTGTACCTGTGCTAATTGTTCGGATGCTAAACTTAGTCCCTGGTTTAGCCGGGAAGATGCGATGGATGAAATCTGGGCCAGAGGTCCGGCATTGGATGGCGTCGGGGTAGCACGAGCAGGGTGGAGCTTCGACTCCAGCTCATCGGTGGCATATTTTAGAGACCCAGAATAGGCCGACTCAATGGAAGCTAGGAGCTGGGCATGAGCAGGAGCGCTAGATTCAGCCATTTGGCCAAGAACTTGAGACTTCGCGATCTCATAGAGTACTCTAGCCTGATCTGTGGAATCAGCAAATGCCGAGCTGGCTCCACCCATCAAAGATTGTACAACTGGTGTTGCGGTGCCGTACATGACCGACGATGCACTGTGGCAGAAATTCGCATTAGCGATAATTCGATTTTGTATGTAATCTTAAAACACGCTGGATATGCTATACTACTTACGCGGCTACTGCATCGCTATATTTTTGAGAGGCTTCACTGGAGATCTTCTCACCGGGGCTCAGAGGAGTGCCATGGATAGCTTCGCTGACAGCATTGCTCGCCTCGGCGTAAGTATCTTCGGCCTTGCTCGCCAGACTGTCCAGGACATCGTGGCTCTCATCATCTAGGATAGGCGCTTGATGCGAATTTGCATCGGCGGCCGCAACAACAAAAGCAGATCTTCCAGAGGGCTGCTCTTCCACCAAAATATCATCGTTCATAACAGACTCGTCAGCGCCATCGAAATCCGCCTCAGCATCGACAGCGGCGGAAGATGCATCGGTGGATGGGGTTTCCTCGTAAAGGTCGTCCGATGTTGGTGCTATCACCTCTTCGGAAGACTCATAATGATCGGAATCCACCTCGGCGGCCTCTTCGTCAGATTCCGTTGCCTCCTCCTGAGGCTTGGGCCTCGCCGGCGGGGCTTCGGTGCGAGTTTCGAAATCATCGCTTACTTCACGAGCGGCGATCTTCCAGATCCCAACATCCTTCAGCCGAACAATTTCCCTGGCAGTCTGTTCGGCTTCGTGCATGCCCCTGGTCCAAGATGTCACTTGCCACGGCTCTAGCTTCAGATACGGATTTGTGATTCATGCCGACATTTCGGATCTCGTTGCGCCATTCTTCAAGTTGGGCTTTGAGGGCATGGTACTTCGCCCAATCCTTGTATGTGACGCCATCCATCCACGCCCAGCGCATGCCAATTTCTTGTAAGCCCAGATCACGAATGCTGTCGAGCACATCCAGCGTCGAATTGACAGCAGCAGTGACTCGGCGAACAAGTTCATCTTCGAACGAGATAGACCATTCTCGGAGTGCATGGGCGCGATCTCTCACAGAGATAGCAGAAGTTCGGATATCCCGAATCAGCAAGTCTTTCGTAGACTCCTCGATCTCCGGGGCATCCTCCTCTGGCATGGAATCCGCGAGTTCATTGATACGTTGCTTGATGGAGGAAAGTTGCTCAGCGGAAACCAACTGAAGCGCAGTAGAAAGGCTCTGGCCGTGGCTGTTTGCGCTGCTTGTAACCAGAGCGGACACAATCTCCCCAATACGTTCCTCAAGGTCTTCAATACCTTTATCAGCTGCCAAAGCAAACTTTCCCTGCCATCGCTCGAGGTCCGAATCTATCTTCTCCCGGACTTGCTGCGCTTGCTCGGTAGGAGTTAGAGTGGGCTGGGCAGAAACCAGGGGCGTGGAAGTTGAAGTCACAGTGGTCGTGGTGTGAATTTGTTCTTGTGACTTTGTGGTCGAGGAGGTAACGGGCTCCACTGTTGAGGTGCTAATTATATGGTTAGCAAGACATAGACTAGAGAAGCCAAGGGGCTATAAGTACCTATCCACGTCCTCTATGACAGCGCGAAGTCGCTTGCCCTCCCTGTAGCTTGCTAACCGCTGGCCAATCTTGACCAGCTGGGGCTCGACTTGCTCAGAGTAAAGACCAGTAACATGTGGCCACAGTGAGCTGTTCGCAAAGTAGACCGCGGATGACCAAGTATACTGCGCGCCGGGCAAGACATGGGTTGTCAAAACACCCTGGCTCGTGGAATAAGCTTTTCCGATGAAAGGCCTGGAACGCGCGTAGAAAGGTACTAGATGGCCCTGGTAGAGATTGCGCACAACAGTGTTGGCCCATTGATAGTATGGAGAGACAACAGCAACGCTTTGCTGGACATAGGGATCAATCTCGGCGATGTAAAGCTGGTGCACCTTATTTTGAGCAGTTTCTAGTCTTGGCGTGACTTGATTTTGCCATTGCTCAATCCCATACGCTTGAGCTTGCTTTAGTGCCGGCGCTCCGTACTTTTCATATCCTGATGTGGCAGCTTTCGATGCCGGGGTATAAACTCGCTGGTTAAACATTTCCACGTATGGCCGAGCTTGATCAACATATGGCCGGGCTTGATCAACGTAAGGCGCTGCATAAATATCATAATATGGCGTCACATAAGGTTGCACGTGCGAACGAGCAATCAGGTAAGGCTTGCAGACTCGAGGTGATGTCTCTGTGAGGTCTGCGAGGCGGGATGGGCATCTGAGGAACGGTGTCACGAGTGCATACCAGATACATAGCCTAAGAAGTGAACCGGTTAAAAGAGGAACTTGACTAAGTACAAACATGGCACTCACCTCACGACAAGCCCGACTGTCCATCGCGCAAAGCCTTTCTTCCGTGGCTTTTCAAGATCCGTTCGGCTCTTTGTTCTGGCTGTGACATCTGCCACTTGGCCATTCTCTTTGACTACCATCGCAAATGAGGTTGACCCTGTCGAGGTCACTCGCTTTCCTTGCTAGATTCGAGGTCGGCCACCGTAATTTGAAGCCCTTCCACACACTTAAGATCGAGTCTGCGGAGTAGAGGATTATCGCTGCATCGGAGAGAAGCTCACTGCTCGGTTAAATATGTGGCTTTCTGATACTGGAGCTCGAGACTGAATGAATCAAAGCAAATTAGCTACTGGAGGCGGAATGCTCGCGTCGGTCTTGGCGCTAGCAACTTTCACGGGCCGCGGTCAGATACCTAGGCTCCGGGTCAATTTTTTTAAAAAAGTTGGTTCTAAGGAAGAAAAGGTTGAACACATCGGTTCAAATGTTTTAGGTCTGATGAAAAGGAAAAGGCGCAATTTTATTAGAAAGTACATTAATAGGACAAGGCGATCGCATATGACACAATAATCAAGAATTTGTTCTTTAAAGCTCAGTGAGGTCATCGGTGGCTACCCGTACTGCAGATACAACAATACCCCAAATACCCCACTGTCCATCGCATTAAAAAGCACGTAATACCGTATTTAATGTACTGCCAGCGCACACCGCTGAGTCAGCGAATTGGATCCAGGTGGGCAGCTACCTGGGCTGAATTACTTTGTTATAATCAAGCATGATCTACAACTCAGGCTTGTGAGGTACGTTGCTCCTATAAATTGGGTTTTAAACCATGTCCTTACTAATCATATCCAGCTCAACTTGGATTGTCCCACCAACATACGTCTTCCGCATGTTTACATCTTTTCCTATTCCCGCTTGACTAGGAACATGGTGAACATTTGATCAACCACCGTCAACTCGGCGAGATTCACAAATTATGGAGCCCGCGGACAACCAATTCCGCCACCATGCGGATAACACCGCGTTCCCCGATCTAATGAACGACCCGGCTTACGATGAAAGGGAAAAGGGATTTGACGACCTGGATACCTGTCGGATATGTCATGGCGAGGCAACAGAGGAGGAACCGCTGTTTTACCCATGCAAGTGCAGCGGTAGTATTAAATTCGTCCACCAAATATGTCTCGTTGAATGGTTGTCACACTCACAGAAGAAACACTGCGAGCTCTGCAAAACGCCATTCCGATTTACCAAACTATACGACCCAAACATGCCCCAGAGTCTTCCCGCCCCACTGTTTGCAAAGCAAGCCTTGATCCAATGCTTCCGGACTTTGGTGACATGGTTGAGATTTGTTCTCGTTGCATTTGTCTGGCTGGGGTGGCTACCGTGGTCGATGCGCGCAATCTGGAGGGCACTGTTTTGGCTTGCTGATGGCCGGTGGTCTGCCAACGAAAATGTTCGGAACCAGGCCGCCCAAACCGCCCAGGGTGGTCTAGGGCAACTGTTCTCAAACGGCACCGCTGTAAATTCTGCGGCAACTGACTCGATTACTTCGACAATTTCTAATGCGGCTATCTCATCTACCACTGCTGTACCATCTGCACGATCCTCAATCCTCAATTTTTCGGCTGGCGAGCCGCTCATGCTCACCCTCATCAAAAAGGTGATCCCTAATCTGTTCATGCCCGCATTTACCTCGACTGTCGGACAAGGCAATGGGCAAAACAATGTCACGGCTAGCTCAACCAAACCTCGGTATCCATCATGGCTTTCAGATGTGAAGTTCCTAAACTCGTTGACACCATATCCAACAATCAACAACATGATCATGGACACATTGGAAGGGCAGCTCATCACCCTTCTTGTGGTCGTTGCATTTATTCTACTATTCCTGATTCGGGAATGGGTTGTTCAACAGCAACCTATGGTCAATATCGCAGAAGGGGAACGTGAGGCTGCTCTTCAGTTAGTTGCAAATGCCAACAATCGGATAAACGATCGATTCAATGAAGAAGGCGGTCTTGGACAACCAGAACCCATCCCTGCCCACCCGGAAAATGAGGTCAATGATGAACGCGCCGCAGCCCATGAGTTGGACAATCATATCCTTCCTCAATTCGCTCCTCCCTCCCCAGGTCTGTCCTCGAATGATTCTGAGTACGGTCTCCCTGGGTCTGAAGCGGAACCACGGGACTATAATTTGAATGATCCGGAATACGAAACAGAAGGCCCTCCTACGGCTCGTGCCCTGGCATTCCGAGACCTAGTGGCCAGGACTCATGGTAACCATGAAGAAATGCTGCGCATTCTTCGCGAAGAGGCTCACGGGGACGACTTGGACTGGATTGTGAATGCTATCACCGGAGCAACTATAAACCGGGATTCATCGGCAGGGCCTTCTACTCGTCCTCATGATTATGATAACCCGGAAGTCTCGGACGGTACCGATGCTGTTAATCGTGAAGATGGAGGTGTCGGTGACCATTCGCCTGATGCGGACGCGGGACCTTCTGCCCAGAACGCGGATCACGCGCCACCAACTCGAGACAATGCCATTCCTGTCGCCAATGTACAAGCGGATGATAGGCCTCCACTCGGCTTCACCGAACGTATGTTCGAATGGTTTTGGGGAGATATCACACCCGCAGAGCGCGGTACAGAAGAACCACTTGCTGAAGATGACGGACATATTGTTCAGGATCCGGCCTTGGAAGACCCATTCGTGCCCTTGCCAAATCGGATGGAAAACATGCAAGCAGATGCGGCTGCCAATGCTGCTGCCGCCGCCGATGCTGGGCTAGACCCCAATGATATCGATGCAATCGAAGGAGACGACTTTGAAGGGATCATGGACCTCATTGGCATGCATGGCCCAATTTTCGGACTTTTCCAGAACGGCGTGTTCTGTGCCCTTCTGATTGCGTTCACAGTAGCCATCGGTATCTGGCTCCCGTACCTATGGGGTAAAATTGCTCTTGTGTTGTTGGCCAACCCTCTCGAACTCGTCATTGGTGTCCCCATCACCGCCGTTGAAGTCGTCGCAGACATCGCTCTTGATACTCTTATTGGTGTCGTGGGATATCTCATGTACTGGTTCAGCCTTGTTTTCAAGATCGTACTGAGCCCCTTCAGTGCTCTTTTGCCCATTGGAGGGTGGATCACCAGGGACAAGTCTGTCACAAGTGCATCGCTTTCCCTGATCGATGCAAGCAGTCACCGCTTGAACAAAGTGATTAAAGCATTCCTAGTCTTCCATGAGTCTGATATTCCCATGTTCTCAGTCCTCTCGCACCAGGCTCTTAAATTACACCAGGCTCGCCTTGGTGCTGTGTTTCAATCGCTCTATGCTGCTGTCAAGTTCATCTTGCATGACTTCCCACTTCGGCTTGTGACCCTCGGTGTTCCCGGAGCCCTTTCTTTGGACTTTGACATTTCGTATTTCAAGAACTTTATTGGTCTGGCCCAACAGAAACTCATCACCTTCGCCAAATCATCACTTTTCTCGATGCCTGGAACAAGGTTCATGAACGCAAGTGCAGCAAAAGCAGCCTCTGCCACAGTGCCGGTTGATTATGACCTGGCAGTATGGGACTCCAAAGATCGTGTTATCGCTATCTTCATGGGATATTTGCTTGCGTTCATGATCGGGCTTCTCTATCTACGAATCACAGGGCTACTTTCTGGTGCCAATCGGGGACAGAGGATTGAAGGCTTGCTTGCTGAGGTCCTGATACAAGCCGGAGGGGTTATGAAGGTCATTCTCATCATTGGGATTGAGATGATTGTCTTCCCTCTATATTGTGGCAGTCTTCTTGATCTTGCTTTACTTCCGCTCTTCTCCAACGCTACAGTGGCTTCTCGGATCGCTTTTACTGCTGCATCCCCGCTCACTTCCCTTTTCGTGCACTGGTTTGTTGGCACTTGTTACATGTTCCACTTTGCCCTGTTTGTTTCCATGTGCAGAAAGATTCTGAGAAGCGGTGTGCTTTGTAAGTGCTGCTGTCCATTTGATAGACTTTGATTCGTTTGCTAACTGCTTCATCCTAGACTTCATTCGTGACCCCGATGATCCAACCTTCCACCCAATACGTGATGTTCTCGAACGAAGCATCACTACCCAGCTCCGTAAGATCGGTTTCAGTGCCCTTGTATACGGTGCGCTCGTGATCGTTTGTCTAGGAGGTGTCGTCTGGGGATTGCACTTTACCCTTGATGGCGTTCTCCCAATCCACTGGTCTGCCAGTGCCCCGATGCTCGAGTTCCCGGTTGATCTCCTATTCTACAACTTCGTGTTACCTGTAGTCATTCAATCATTCAAACCTTCCGATGGTTTGCATGATGTATATGATTGGTGGTTCCACAAGTGCGCTCATTTCCTGCGTCTCAGCAACTTTTTCTTCCCCGAAAGACACCTGGAGGAAGAAGGCTACCACGTTCGGAAGACCTGGTGGGGCATTCTCTCTAGAAGCCAGGGTGACTGGGAACACCCAGTAATTGGAGATGAGCAGCAGGCTGCAGCTGAGCGGGAAAACCGTGACGTATACTTCCTGCGCGATGGTCGATACGTGCGTGCCCCTGGCTCCGACCAGGTCCGCATCCCCAAAGGCAACCACGTTTTCCTTGAGGTCACCGAGGACAATGAACGCGTTGATAGGAAGCCTGATCCTGCCGATGGGCTACATGGCCGATCCAGCAATATGTTCACCAAAGTTTACATCCCACCCTCCTTCCGGACTCGGATTGCTGCCTTTATCCTCCTAATATGGCTGTTCGCCGCCACTACCGGGGTAGGCATCACTATTATTCCTTTGGTCATTGGCCGGAAGATCATCGGGTCCTACTCCTCTACTCCGGCACCGGTGAACGACGTCTACGCCTTCTCAAGCGGTCTTTGTGTGGTCGGTGCGCTTGCCTACCTGGCGTACTACTCCAGTACCGCACTTGAATTTGTGCGAGAGCATTCAGGCGCATACCTTCGCTCCCCTCGCCAAGCAGCCCAGACCAGTCTGGACCTCGTGATGCATGCTGCTCGGCTTCTCTACATGGCCCAGGTTGCCATTATCCTTCTACCATCACTCTTTGCGCTGCTCACTGAACTATACATTCTCATTCCAGCGCACACCCTCTTTGGTGATGG